AGGCAGAGGCAGAGGCAGAGGCAGAGGCAGAGGCAGAGGCAGAGGCAATCTCAGTATGAGTTCCAGGCCAGCCGGCACTACATAACGAGACCCTGTCTCAAAAAAACAGTAAAAAGGAAAAAAAATATATATTTCCTACTGTTAACGAAATTGTAATGTGATTTTATGAGGTGTGTGCCTTCAGGTTAGGAACGAGGTGGATGGTCACACGGTTCAGCACATGATCATAAATACTCTAAGGAAACAGTTCATTTGTTGTTTTGAACATCCATTTCTGAGATGCCTTCAAGCCAACCATTACCTCTGAAGGAAATTTTTTTTTTTTTTTTTTTTTTTATCAGTAGCGTTGGAGTTTCTTGTCTTGTACTCAACAGGAAAGGCTCTGAGGGGCTCCTATCCTTTCTCTCCTATGTCTGCTTACATTGTCCTTTCTTTCTACCTTGCCTTAAAACCACACCATCTTAGAGGGAAGCTGACAATACAATTGGACGCTGGGTCCTCTGGGGTCAACGTATGAGAGGTCATTTGGTGGGAGTAATCAGTGCTTCCTGGGACAAAGAACGGAAAAGAAAGGAGATGACACAATATTATATTACGACTCTCTTAAGTGGGTGTTTATACAATGAGTATTGTCCTGATTTTGATCTTCAGTAGCAAAACAACAATTACTACAACAACAACAACTACAACCATATGTACATTTGTGCACACGTGCGCATGGATATGGATTAGGTCATGAAACCAGACAAGGAGCCTTGAGAGATGAGCAGTCCCCACAAAAGAGAACCACTGAGGAAGGGGAGTGGGTAATAAACTTGTGACATGAAAGTGAAAAAAGAATACTAAGAGTGGAGAAGCAGGAAAAGAGGAGAAAAGATCAGGGTAAGAGGATCAGCCAGAACAAATGATGTTTGAAGATGTCAGAAGGAAGCTTTGAATGCAAACTAAAAAAAAAACACACAACAACCCTTTTTTAAGAGACTGACTTCACTCAGATTTCGACCTTTTCTTTCCTTCCAGAACAAGCTGCAATCCTGGAATCCTACCCTTCAGGGAGATTTCTTCTGCAGAGAATAATACTGAAAGGACAGCCCTGCCTCACCTTTAACACAGAAACTCTCAATAAATAATACAATGTGACAATCTGCGAACCTCAAAGCAGAAGTGCAAAACATTAGGCCTTAGGTTGCTAGCTGTGCTCATCCTTCTGCTTTGGTTGTTAGGCACTCCTGCCCATTTCTGTGCCAGCTTGTTACTCATGTCTTATTTTAAAGTGTTACCTTCCTCTTTCTTTGTCTTTATTCTCTTGTTCTTTCTCTTTTAGCAGTAACCACCTTTGCAAGATTTTGGATTTAGGGTCTGAAATCCAGGAAAGGTTGTTTCCAAAAGCATAAAGAGTTCTCTTGACTCTCACTAGCTCTGAGGTGTCTGGGCCAGCTGTCTGCCATGTCCACATGTGATGTGTGCTTTGCCCGTATCATTATCCCAGGCTATTAGAATCTGTGAAAAGTTAGACTAGCTCTTCAAAGCTCTGCATATCTCCAGTTTCCTTATCTCTTCATTCCACCTTGTATTACTCAGATGTGGAACAATGCAAAGGGGAATTATAAATTCCCAATGCAATGATTACTATTTTGGTTCTAATGTTACACTTTCTGCTACAGTTTCAGTGGGCCAAGAAAAGACCTGAAGGATTATCATCACACTTCTGTGTTCTCAGATAAAAGCTTCTACATCAGCCTTTCTAGTTGTTTTCATCGTATGTCAGTGAAAAAACAAAAACAAACACCCAAAAAACAAAGAATGGAAGACGAACATCTCAAACAAAAACAGCGAATCTGCTAAAAGAAAATATTTGCATTTTCAAACAAAACACCTAAGACAAACTTAAAATGCTACCTTCCCATTACAGATAGGAAATGACTTATTGGTATGGAGAAAAGCACTGCTGAACATCCATCTTTGCTCCCATGTGTCATGCCTGAGTCCCTTTCAATTGTTGTCATCTTAAGTGTGTATGAAGTAATACCCACTGTGTGTCCAACGCAGTGCCCAGGTGGCAGTGATGTCGGGGATTGCCCACGTGTTTGCTGGTCATTTATAAAATCTTCTTTGCAGCCCTGTCTGTTTGGTTCCTTTGCTCATTTTCTCCCACTGAGTTCTATGTCCGTTTTCCTTAAGTTAGAAGTTCTTAAAGTATTCTTGCTACAAGTCCATCCTCGGATCCTAAAATTTGTGAAGCCCTTCAACACTTCCATGGGCTATGATTGTATTCTTTGAAACATAAAAGCATCCAGCTGCACAGATTTCCAATCATCTATTTTCCCTCTTGTAGTCAATACCTCACCTCATCCCACTGTTTTTAATCAATCTCATTTTTCTTAAGTTATCTTTTCTATTTCTTTCTGCATATTTTACTTATATAATTTCATGATTTGAAAACTTAGAGTTAGAGTACCACAGATTAAAAATATGATAGTACCTACAAAGTGGCTTCTGATCATTGCTTTAACCACCTCTCATAGCTTTCAATAGACAGTATATTTTGATAAATATATTTCTACTTATAAACATTTCTAATTTGTTTGTGAACCTAAGAATTATTGAATCAAAAAAATATTCCAAGATAAGCATTTCATTAGTTCACTTATCTTTTATTTTAAAATCTAGCACACTGCATTTGGTAAATTTGTTTAATGTTATATAAAGTTTATTTTTTAAAATAGCATAAGATATATAACCTATCAGCATATAAAATACCGTATTTCCACATTTTGTAAAAAATAATAGAGGCTGAGCATGGTGGCACACACCTTTCACCCCAATATACTGGGAGGCAGAGGTACGTGGATCTCTGTGAATTAGTGGCTAGCCTGGGCTACAAAGCAATTTCCAGACCAATCAGTGCTACACAGTAAGACCCTGTCTCAAAAAACTAAAAACAAAACAAATACAAAAAGAAAGAAAGAAAGAAAGAAAGAAAGAAAGAGGAAGGAAAGAAGGAAAGAAGGAAAGAAGGAAAGAAGGAAAGAAGGAAAGAAAGAAAGAAAGAAAGAAAGAAAGAAAGAAAGAAAGGAAGGAAGGAAGGAAGGAAGGAAGATGAAGAGGCGAGGGGGAAGGGAAAGAAAGAACAGGGTTACAAGTTAGGCTTAATTTGTACTTATTTGATTGCTCATAAATTAATTAATCAAAATTTTATTGTCACTAATCTTGGTTTAAGTAATGTAACCTGAGTATAACAAATTCTACTAAACAACTTCAACAGAAAACAATTTGCATTATCCATTTTGGGGTGTGTATATGTAGGTTTTGTGTGCGTGTGGGTGGTGTATGTGTTTGTGTGTATGCAGGTGTGCCTGCCCGTGTGGAAGCCAGAAACTAATGTCAAGTGTGTTACTCTATTGCTTTCCACCTCGTTATTTAAACAGCGTCTCTCCCTGACTCTGGAGCTCACTGTTTGAGCTAAACTAGGAGCGGGTCAGTGAGCTCTCGGCATCCCCGTTTCTGCCAACCGTACCCTACCCTACCAGAGCTGGGATTACAGGTGTGTACGCCCTGCCTGGTTTTCACAAAGGCGCTGGCAGTCTGCACTCACACCCTCAGCCCTGCATGGCAAGCACTTCACCTTCTGAGTCATGTCCTCAGTGCCTAGCTATTCATTCTCCCAGGAAGTAAAATACTACGTTATTTTTACCTCATCCAAACAGTTGACATGAACATTCTTGCTAGACAACAGTGTCCCAGCTTCTTGGATGGTACCTTTAAAAAAAGAAAGAAAGTGGTGAGACGTAAGATCACCTCTCATTAGAAAAGAGGAAAAGGTCTAAGGAGGAGGCAATAAACTTTAGAAGGGTGTCTGTAAAACTAAGACTAGATAGGCTGGGTGCTAACACAGAAAGCACCCAGCCACCAGCCTTCCTCCAGAGAAACAGTTTTATGCAAACTAACATAATTCCATCGACCTGAAATTTTATTAGTTTGGCCCACTTTTCTCTTGGCAGCCATGTTATACCCACTCGGCACAGGAGTTAATGCCAAAGCAAATCCTAAATTTAATCCAAGATCTAATCCAAGTCACCATCAGGAACTGACTGTCTCCTCTGGGTAAAGCTTGAAATCCAAGATGCAGCCGGAGCTACATGATTTGTCAGGTCTGGTGAATGACGGCACGTTTTTAGTAGAATGCCTGGTTTGGAAACCGATAGGTAAGACCTATCTACAAAGTCTCCTGCTATGGAAAAGTGCTCTCCGGTCAGTATTCAGCCTCCTGGGCTGGAAGGGATCACAGGAAAACTGAAAACTCTGCCCTCTGCTGAGTTTGTAATTGGGTCAGAACGATCAGGTTTTTCCAGTTTTGTGTGGGACATGAAAGAAAGTGGTTGCAGAAGGGAATGTCAGTATTATCACCGCTAATCACGGCAGCCACATGTCCTGCCAAATCATTCCTGGCCTGACTGGGAGGAGAACGATGAAACCGAGTGTCCTCAGCAGATAACAAGCAGCAGGAGCACCCCAATCTGAGCCAGAGGGGAAGAGGGGTGCAGACTAAAGACCAGCCAGCTACCCCCACCCCCTGTGGGATTTGTAGACGTGTTCCCTGAGAGCTTCTCACCAATGCGGAAGTATCGGTGCCCTGGGTGTGTTGGGAAAATGCCAACAGAATGATCTACATGCCCCTGGAGCATGATGGAAGCTATTTCTACAAATACTGTGGTTTTTTATTTTGTTTTGTTTTGTTTTGTTCCTGGCACTGAACTCTGGGAGGGTTCAGAGGCTGAGTGGCTAAGGAAAAGGGGGAAATTGCTATACAGCACGTGGCAGCCAGTCTGACCTAACTGGCAAGTCCCCAGCACAAGACAGACCCTATCTCAAAGGAGGCAGAAGATGCTCCTGATAATGACACCTAAGGCTGTCCTCTGACCTTTTCCCAAATAAGCACACAGCTACACACAGAAGGGAGTACATAAGCATTGGAGCACAATGGCGACTTCCCCTTTCAACGTCAGCCATACCTGTGGCTTTTCCTCAGAGACTTTCTCAACCAGCCTCAAGAAGATGCAGAACAAAAGTCCTGCTCCCCCTTTGCCCTTGGACAAGATGCTTCAGTTGAATCACATTCTCCACTGAGAACTCACAGAAATCATTTTCTTTCTGGCCAGATATTTATGGAATAAAGGAGAAAACTACGGGGGTTGTGAGCAGAACAAAGCCTCCCACGTGTTAAGGACAGGATGGAGATTACGATCATAAACACTTGAACCACACTAGAGAGCAGGTTGCATCAGTTCTATAAAATGTTTGCCCAGTGGCCAACAGCCTAAAAAGAAGATACGAGGAAGATGTAAAGCATGGGGGAGGGGGATGTTTCCTCCTGCTAACCTCCTACTCCGTAGTCTCAAGACTTAATCTATGACACAGAAGTACAAACATTCCTCCGACCCCTGCCAACACACACACACACACACACACACACACACACACACACACACACACACACACACCAGGCAATTCTCCACGATCCCTTTGGAGGATCAAATGACCTTTTCACAGGGGTCACACATCAGATATTTACATTATGACTCATAACAGTAGCAATGAGGAACTGTATGAAAGGGTCACAGCATTAGGAAGGAGAACTGCTGGTACAGATGATTAAGGCATACTACATAGGAAGAGGCATCCTGTCTTCTGGCAATCTGAACACCTTCTCGACCTGCTGTTTCAGAAATACTTTTGGAGGCTTTGACACATAGCTACGATCAATTGTTAGCCCAGTCTCTGCTCCTCTCCCCTTCCTGGAAGATTATGGGATCAAGGTAGAGTTGAAAGTGCCAAGCCTGTAATTGTGTCTTGGTCTTTCCAGTGACTAATCCATATTGTAAAGCTACCTAGGAGCTTGACAAACAGCACCTAAGAAAAACAGAGACATGCCTGTCACATCAGACATGCCAAGGGAACTCTGTTCTCAGGAACCACGGTTACAGACCAGCTACTGGAATAAAAGATAACACCCAGCACTCTTCAGGCTTAGATGTATGAGTTCTTTGAAAGCTGTGTGCCAGGAAACAAGGGCACAGAGCACATACATACTATAGACATCCACACAGACACATACACGCACACACATAGATCACACAATCTGTTAACCTCAGCCCCTAGAGGTGCAGGAAAAAAAATGTATCTGAAAGAGTTCATGCTTCTGCAGAGTGAAAACGGATCAGTGAGTGACTGATCCCGAGGGGAAAATATATGTAATATGACTTTTCATTTGCTGTTCCCAATCTAATGACACCAAGAAGAAACTACAGAACACACTAAATAACACAGAGGTGTAAAGCACATGGCTCATACAGGAATTCAGCTTCTACTTATGCCTTACTGTCTTAAAAACTGCAACTGAGTTTTTAAGAAGCTGTTTTGTTAGGGGAAAGAAATGTGCTTTATCTAATCTAACAAAGTCTTGCAGTAGGAGGCAACCCTGTGAGAAGTAAATGGATTGAACCGGATCAACTTTTATTGCAGACACAAATTAATGGAGCTAAGCTATTGAAAGCGAGTAACAATTTGCTCCTTTTGAGTTAACGCCAAATGGCTCAAACCGAAGAAAACAGAACCCAGTTTTCCTCATTCAAGTCTGACTGATCAATTTTATCCGGATACACCACCACTGGTAAACAAGTGATGAAAAGAGTGACATTCCCATTGCCACCCTCTTCTACCACCTATGACATTTCCGGGGCTACTGTGAAACTCAGTGAAGTACGCCAAGCCCTGCCTGACTTTCCTTAACAAGAAGCAAAATCCCAGAAAATTCTGAGGAAGATTCGGGGCTGGACTTAAAATAGATACACTTAATATAGATACTCAGGGCCTATTATATGCTCTTTTTTTAATTTAATTTTACGTGTATGATTTTTTTTTTCTGCATTTATGTTTATGTACTACACGCTTGCCTGGTACTCAGAGGCCAGAAGAAAGCATTAGCATCAGATCCCCTGGACCTGGAGTTCAAGATGATTGTGAACCACCATGTGGGTGCTGGAAATAGAACCTGGGTTTCTGGAAGAGCAGCCAGTGTTGTTAAGTGCCGAGCCATCCCTCCAGTCCCAACATGGTCTTCTTGGTTTACAACTGGAGCAATTATCGTTATTTTATGGTGCTAGGGATTGAACGTCAGTCCTAGTTAACACACAGGGGGGTAAGAGCTGTACCACAGAGCTATGCCCTAGGTGTGTAAAGATTTGAATAGCTATTTTGTGGACCTCAAAAACTGTATTTTGAAAAAGTATTTATTTATGTGTATGAGCGTTTTGCCTGCATGTATGTATGTGCACCACGTGTGCCTGTGGAAGCTAGAAGATGGTACTGGATCCCCTTGAACTGCAGTCACGGGTGTGTGTGAGCCGGTTTGTAAGTGCTGGGATCAATCAAGTGCTACAAGATCAATAAATGCTCTTAGCCATTAATCCATCACTCCAGGCATCCAAAATGGATGCCTGATGGCATCTGTACCCAACCAAACATTTAATATGATTTGAGTTGGTGGTTGCTGTAATGCTTATGAATAAATAAAATTATATAAAAATATTTCAACCACCTTAACTGTATGATGCATGTGGAGGGGGGGTGCACATGCCATGGCACATATGTGGAGGTCAGGGGACAACTTCATGGAGACAGTTCTCCTTCCATCTTCCTGTGGGTTCCAGGGATCACACTCAGGTTGTCCAGTGTGCTGAGGAAGGACCTTACACAACACGCCTTTGTGTGGCCCACAAGCACTTTGAAGTTCAAGGAAAAATATGGAATATAAATTGCTACCGTCAGATGTAGAGCTATAAAATATTTAGAAGCAGAGGCTGGAAACACAGCGCATTAGGGAAGAACACACAGCTCTTGCAGAGGGTTGTAGTTCAGTTCCCAGCACCACGGCACCCACATCCGGTGGCTCACAGCCACTCATAACGTCAGCTCCCGGGGATCTAATACCCCCTGGCCTCCAAGAGAACATGCACTTTCCAACACAAACACATATACCCATAAAATCTTTTTAAAATCTTTTTTTTTTTTTTTTTTAAATCAAGATGCCTCTACTGTATCTACTTTGACTTGCACTTTGAAACTGTAGATTTCTGCAAGGTTTCTGAAAGTCCTTCCACTGTGGTTTCTTCTTCTATAAAGGGAAGGTATTTACCAAGGCCTCAGGCAGCAGAGGGTGTTTAGCGTGTTGCCTGTGCTGGCTTGATTCGTCCTTAACAGCAATGCTGCGAGGTAGGAGACCTTGACACAGAAAAGGTTAACTTGGACAGGTCCACGCCACCAGGGAAAGCAGTGGTGCTGCTACAACCAGAATGGCCTGGTGTCCTGTTTTCAATGCCTGTGATAAAAGGTCATGGCCAAAAGCAGCTTGGGGAGAAGTACAATCCGTCATGAAGGAAGTCCTCCCTGCAGGGACTCCAGGCAGGCAGCTGGAGGCAGGAGCTAACGCAGAAGCCAGGAAGGACTGCTGCTTACTGGCTTGCTCCCCATGGCTCAGCCTGCTTTCCATAGAAGCCAGGACCAACCGTTCAATGGTGGCACTGCCCTGATGGGCTGGGCCCTCTCTTATCAACCATGAATCCAGGAGATGCCCGCTCAGCCTCACCTACAGGTAACCTGTTGGAGGTATCTTCTCAGTTGAGGTTCTTCCTAGATGACTCCAGCTTATGCCAAACTGACAAAAACAAAAACACCAAAATCCCAAAACCCAGACACACAGAATACGTCCCTTGCATGGTGCTTCATGCGACAATTCAGCAAAAACAGACAAACAGAAGCACAAACAAACTTTTAGCTCTTCTAAATTAAAGGTAGGAGTGCATGCCATGTGTTCAGAATGGCATTTAATGATGGCCTGTCTTCTCCTATCTCCCAGCCCTTTTCCTGAGAGCAAGAGAAAGCTTAAAATCCTTGATATGACAAGAACGCATACAAACTAAATTTACCTTGCTTCTTTATTCATTGGTTTGGGGTTTTTAAACCAATGAAAACCAGCGTCTACCCACTCACAAGCCTTGACCATAAGGTGGCCTAAGAAATACAAGGTAAATACACTAATTCTGCCTGATACAACCTTAGCTTAAACCCTGTACACATGTCCAAATACATCCACGAACTTAGACCCCTCCTTTCAGACACATTTTTACTCCAGCTGCTCACTGGTTTTCACTTTCAAGCGAACATGTGATAGCTCTGGCCTGTTTAAAATCAGAATTCCCGTCCCTGGTGGATTATGCGTTGATCTGTCCTCTCTTACTTTTGATTAGTACAGTTCCTGGCGGGCAGCTGGGGCTCCTGTTCACTAAAGTAAGTCCCAGACCTACTAAAGGCAGGGAGAAAGTAACCCAGAGACATCCCAGAAAGCCAGAAGCCACCGACAGCCATGCAGTTCACAGAATAAAAAATTCAACACAGGCTCTGAGTATTCCGGCAAATATCGATCACCCTGAGAAATCTAGTCATGATTGATTTAGAAGTGAGATCAGTTCCTAGTTGCCTGTTGAGTTTCAAGCCCTATATTGTTTTCTCATACTGTTTAGACACATGGGCATTCTTTGTTAGGAAGAATATATAAGTTTTCCTATCAGTGGATAGGAATCAATCAGACTAGATTGAGTCTGGCTGAGTAGAAGGCTGTAAACGCAGGAGCCCTGTGTTACAATATCCAGCTTCTCTGCCATTCGAGGGCACATGTTTAAGTCTTGAACTGAAAGCATCCAAGTCAGCCATGCCCACAGGCCCTGCATCCTCATCTCAGCAAAGTGACAGTGCACGTGGACCCGCTGATGTCCCCTGCCAGGTAACGGGATAAGTCTGGGGACTCATCTGGGACATCCACTCGGAGGCTCGTGGGGAAACATGGCTTCTGGCTTCCTTTCCAAAAGCTGCACAGCGGGGACGGGACTCGAATCCGCAAAGTGGAAAGGAAAGCACCAAAGATCACCACAAGATCACAGAGGTCTGACTCCCGACCAAGGGCCCAGTGAGTGTCTAGCCAAGCTCCTCGCCTTCCTGCGGGTTGCTGTGCCGGTCCGGGCTACAAGAAGCCAGTCACAGAGGCCCTGGATTCGGAAAGCTCAAAGCGGTACAGACAGACAGAGTTCTGTGCCCTTATAAAGAACCCCTCTCGCCGAGAGCTCACTCCACCCCCAGCAGGGGCGGAGATCCGCTAGGGATCCAGATCCTTCGGCTTCCGGAAGTCCAAGGGGCCCTTTAGACACCCGCCTAAGAGCCTAGAACTACCAGGCCACTGTGGTCTTGACTGACTGCAGTCAAAACATCGGAGAAGCTGGCAAGCATGCTCACGCGGAGGCAAGCGCCCTTGCCTTCACAGCCCGCGAGGGGTAGTGACAGTCGGTCGATTTCTAAAAAGCTGATTTGGAGGTCTAAACTCGGCAACCTAGATCTGATAGTGCCAAGGCTTCTGTCTCCCAGCTCCCCGCCCCTGCAATCGGTCCCCAGGCAGAGACAGAAAGGCTTTTTTTTTTTTTTTCGGACTGCAAGTAGCCTAAGGTGCCCCAGGCTCCTCAACGCCCCGCGACCAGTCTGCAGCGCCCGGGTACCAGCCCTGCACCCGTACCTTTCCCGATCACTTCCAGCAGCTCCTTTTCCTCCTGGGTCAGCTCGCCTTTCTTTATGTGCCCCATCGTTCCCGCCAGCTTGAGGCTTATTCTATTTCTATGGGAAGGTTTTTAAAAACTAGAGACGGGTGTGCGGATGTGGAGGTCCGCCACAGCTAGGCAACTCGAGGCTGGGGGCAGCAGACCAGAGAAGTGGCGCTAGCCAGGGTCTTGCAGCTGGGGGCTGGCGGGTGCGGCGAGCTCGGGCGAGCCGGGCGGGCGCTCTCCGCAAGCCCGGCCCCCGCGCCTCATTGGCCAGGTCGGGAGGAGGAGCTGCAAGGGGCAGCAACAGACTCCAATTGGAGCAGCACGCAAGGTCCAAACCAAAAGAAGAAATTTGGAGGAGGGGATCCATATACCTTCTAGGTTCTCCGCCACCGTGCAAGCCTGTTTAAAAACATACAGACACGATTTTCCTTTAATTGCTAAGAAAGTACTTCTCTGTCTAGCAGTGGCTTCGCAGGAGACGCGCGGAAGCAGCCGGATGCCTCCGGACAGGTTGCATCGCCCCTGGAGTGGCGCGGTTCGGGCAAGGGGCGGGGCGGGGGCGGGGCCTGGGCGGGAGGCGGAGCCACGCCGGGTTCCGTGTGTCTGTGTCAATGTGTCTGTCCTTCACTCCTCCATTGTCTGCTTCCGCCGCCGCTGCCGCCGCTGCTGCTGCAGGATCCGCCGCAGCCTCCAGTCTCGCGCGTCGTCGCTCCCTCCTTGGACAGGTGAGCCGGGGCCAGGTGGGGCAGCGGGAGCCGGAGGGTCGGGGGAGCCGCGGCCGCCGCCGTGCCAGGGGCTCCCACCGGGCTGGAGCGTGGAGGAAGCATGTGCCTCCCTCCCCGGGCGGTTGCCGACCTCTCGGTAGAGGAGCCCCTGCGCCGCCCCATCATCTCCGCATGTACCGAGTGTCGGCGCCCCTCGAGGAAGATCCAGACCTCGCTGCTTAGGGCCGCCCCGGGAGTCCCGGGCACCGCAGGCGGGCCGCGAGCTGGCCACGCGGTGGAAGTGGCGGGTGCACATGGTCTCGTTCGTGGCGATCCCCAGGGAGGCCGGCTCCGGGGAGGTGAGGGGGACCAGCGGGGTGGGCTTGTGATGGGGAGAGGTTTGGAGAAGGTAATTTTCTTTTTGCAAACCTCGTCCTCCCCACTACTTGTCTGTCATCGCTTGGCCTCTGGAAGCCATAAAACCTGGATCTGTGGTGTTGGTTAAGGATATGTAGAAGCCATTTACTCTTACACTAATACTTCGTTGGGGTGTGTGTGTGGGGGGGGTATCTTTGCTCTGAGAGAGTTGCCTGTCTTTGTAACTCGGGTTTGGGGATTTATGGAACTAGGGAGAGGAGGGTGGGGAGGGCGGGGATTAAATTGGAGTTGCTGTCTATATATAGCCTTAGATTAGCTTCTTAATCCAGCCTTCATTCAACTGTGATGTGAAGCCTGCAGCGTCCCCCGTGGGTAGAGAAAGGGTGGATACAGTGAGTACCTTTCTGTGGCTCAGATGCAAGACATGCTTGCTGAAATATGCAATCATTCCTCCAAGGTGCTTATCTGTAGCGCTCGACAGCGTCAATCACAGCTTCTTCAGAAACGACTGTTTCGTTTTACTGTTTCTCTGCCGACTAGTATTGATGTTTTCCTCAAGACACAACTGTGCTGGGGAGAAATACTTGGATAATTATGTAGGTGGTTTTTTTTTTTTTTTTAATTAAATATCTCCGGGACCACTCTTTCGTTCCGCAGTGCCATATATAAAGTAAAATGCTTTTTCCTCTGGCCCTACACTTCCTTTTGCTAGAAGCATATACAAACAGGTCAGAGATCCAGGGATGATGTTCACTCTTTCTTGTCTTTAACCAAAAGCTTTTCTAAACTCCTGCTGCCCATCCCCCCAACAGCCACAGACACACAGAGCTTCAGCTTGGGGAGGGAGGAGCAGATTCTCACATGAAAATGGTTGGTGATTATTCATCTCAACGTATAACAAAGAAACTTTTGTTTGATGATGTTTTAGAAATGATGTAGCTGTTCAAACAAGCAGTAGGGCTTCTGAGAGTGACCGGCGTTGTGTAACACGTCGGTGCTACTGCCACAGCGATTAATGTGCCAGAGGAGCCCACAAACCGAAGGGAATGCCTGAGAGTAACCCTGCCACGTGACTACACATCCTCTCAGCAGATGCATAGACAGAATTGGCTACTTAACAGCCAGTATTTCCATCTCTGGTGCCAAATCTGGGCCATGGTTACTTGAAGGTCACACCTGTTTGTCTCTCTGGGTTGTCAGTTCCTCGAGGATAGAAATATAGGATGGGTGTTCTTGGAGCTTGAATCGCTGGTGGTTATTTAATCTTCTGAATGCATGGCTTTAATTTAGAGTTGATGGTATTTAAGAACAAAGAAAAACGTCCACCTAGAAGTGAAGATAAATCCTGTGTTCGTTTGAATTTTGGAAACAGATACCTAATAGAGAGTGTTCAGAAGTGTTCCAGTACTAGCACTGTTCAATATAAATATTTAATGTCAAAATAAGATTAGTTAATGAGTTTATTGAAATGTATTCTCATCAAAGAACTCTATTGATAATGAAATAATTATTCATTTTGACTATCTAATCTGTTTCAGATATTCTGCCAGATGTTGTGCATAGGATTATTTTAAGCATTGTTATTATGGACTGAAATTAGCCAGTATTATCTTCATTTATGAAAATATGAACAGAAACTGAAGGAGGTTAATTTGCCCAGAACCCCACAGCTAGAAAGCTGGGATTACATCCTGTTTGATCTGACTATAAGAACCTTTTGCGGGGTGTGGTGGTACACACCTTTAATCCTTAGCACTCTGGAGGCAAAGGTGGGCCTATCTTTCCACATAACTGGCTCCAGGCCAGCCAGGGATTCATAGTAAAACCCTGTCTCAGAGATTAAAAAGTAAAATAAGTTAGAACACAGCCAAAGTGAATGATAAATAAAAAGCAAGAACATGGCTGCTCCTAGATATGATGGAACACCAGCTAGATAGATAGATAGAAAGAAAGAAAGAAAGAAAGAAAGAAAGAAAGAAAGAAAGAAAGAAAGAAAGAAAGAAAGAAAGAAAACATAAGAACAGGTATGGTGGAGAAGAAAGTTTATTGTAGATAAAAGGAAGAGCAGAGGCAGAGACATCTGGGAGAGTCCAAAGTGGACATGCCCCTGAGCCATGTGAGGAGAGGGGAACCAGATACAGCAGCCAAGAGGACAAAAGATAAAATAGACAGGTAACCAACATGGCTGGGGTTATAGGGAATCGCTTGCAAGGGAAAGGCTGCCCAGTCCTTGGGCTGGAGAGTCCAGGTAGAGGGCAGGGTGTGCCAGGTAAGGACTGAGGAATGCTGGGAGAACCCGGCCTCCAAGTCTGCTGTGATATGTTAACTAGGAACCTCAGCCACTTGTCCCAGGGTTTGAGACTTGACACAAACCTTCCCTCTCTTCTCTGTGGGCTAGTGACTAGCTATTTTATGAGATCTAGCGTGCCATGTGTGCAAGTCTCTTCTCCACCTCTTTGCCTGGGCCCTTCTTTACTCACAGCCTTCCTGAGATAGATGTATGTAGTTTATGGGTCTAGTTCCATGTTTTTTTCTTTTTACAAAAAAAGGAAGCATACTAACACATCTACATAATGGAAAAGATTCATATATGTGTGTGTGTATCTGATCGTCTCCTGTTTCTGTCTTCACCTTTTTAGGAAATAGTAATTTCTGAAATGTTATGCGTGTGCTATCACCTTTTTTTTTTTCTTTTTTCTTTTTTTTTTTTTTTTTTTACTACTTGTGTCCTTGGCCTCTGCTGTGGATTCCTAACTTTTTTCCTTCCCCAACTGGCTACTTCAAGGAACTCTCCTGAGTAAACTCCTAGCATAATTGTCCTTTCTCTGGCCACTGAGTAAGGCTCGGCAACCTGTGATCCCAGCAGGAGTTTCCAGTCCATCTCCACCCACTCTCTGCCCTAAGGTCCCCATAGGCTGCTTCCCTAACCTGCCAGTAATTTCCACCCACCCCTCTGTTCCTCCTTTCTCTTCCTGGAATTCTTTGCCTTTCCTGTTCGCCCATTCTCTCCCCTTGCCTGCTTGGAATTCCAGCATGCGTGCATATCTTTCACTTTGTCTAAAGAGGGGAGTCCAGACCCCCAAACAGTTGCTGGGACATACAGTCTTTGCACAAGCTTGGCACTGGTGACATGCGGCTGGTACTATTATGGGCAACCCTCCAAATTATCTATACTATGGAAAACAGCCAACTCCCTCAGACCAGCCTTCAAATTAACACCGTTGTTTCTGGATCTTCATTCCACGTGAAAATAATCTACTTTAGCAAACACATTTATTTCTAATAATTGTTTGGACCCCTTTTCTCCTTCGACTGTAAAGTCACCAGGTCAGCTCTCTGTGTTTCTGGAGATAGAAGCTCATATCTTGCAATTAGTAGGAGCTCACTGCATGCTGAGTTGAATTCATTTGATCTCCAAGTTATTTTAGGTAGATTTGTTTTCCCAGTTGACTGATCCATCCTGGCAGTGTGAAATGAGGTGACACCAAACACAGAAGTCTCAGACATTTGGGGTCTCTGGGCTTCTTGAAGTCACTCCAGTACTACCAGCTAAGGGGAAAAAAAAAAAAACAAAGAAACCCTCATATACTTAGCATGTCACTCTTGGTTCCCCCATTCAAGGCCCTGCTTGTTCACTGTCTCTTAAAGATAGTACTTTGTAAGGTCATTGACAACTAATTTTGAGGCTTTTATCTGATAGGGAAGCTTTTCCCTTGGTATTTGAGTCCTTGGATTTACTCTAGGTACTTTTTGTTTGTTTGGTTGGTTGGCTGGCTGGACCTTTAATGCTGTTAAGTAATTTAAACTTCTTAGACTGAAGCAGTACGCTTCCGTTGTCAAAAGATCCCTTACCATTCGGAGATGAGCTGAGATGCTCAAGGAGAACTTGGTGCAGTCTAACAGTCCTTCTCACTTTTGAAGATTGTTTGGAATTTTTCCAGTGAGACTTTTAAATGGACACCCGGAAGCATCATGGTTCCTAAGATATTAGGCCCCATGCAGCATAAAATAATGTGGGTGCTTGGTGCTTAGGTTATGGCATTCCAAGACAGTCACACTTGGTGCTGCAGAGCACTAAACACATGACATCGTGGCTCAACTTTTCAACACACCTGTAAGGAAACCGGGATTGCTCCTTGCTTCTTCACAGGTTTGTGGATATCT